CGCAGGCAAGCAATAAAAATTCAATATTTATTAATGCTGAAATAGGATGAAGTTAATGCTGAATTATGCTGAAATAGGGTAATTCTAGATAGGATTCTCTCCTAGGAGCATGCATGTGTATACACTGGCGGCGCGTGCATACATTCGTACATGCATGCATACGTACAATTCATCACGTCAATCTATCACCAACGCATCAAAACAACGCCATCTCTTATTCTTGCAGCAGACATTGTCGTTTAATCACACACTGAAATACAATCGTAAGAGAACCGCTCCACTTCGTGGTAAATAACCACGAACCCAGCCACCGATCGAACGTCCGCAAGCGAGCACGCGTTTCACGTCCGCACGCGCCCGCAACGATAGACACGCCATGTCGCCGCGAAGACCGACGCGCCTTGTCGCCGCGACGCACCGACGCGCCATGTCGCCGCGACGACGGACGCGCCTTGTCGCCTCGTCGACGGACGCGCCTCTCGCCGCGACGACGGACGCGCCTTGTCGCCTCGACGACAGACGCGCCTGTCAGCCGCGCCTCGCCCGTCTCGTCGACGACGCAGTGCAGGTGCACGCGTTCTCGCGCGCCACATCTCGTGCGCAGCGCAGCGTCTGGCCGGGCATCACGGGCCGCGCGAAGCGTGCCTTCATCGAGCGGGAAGCGCGCGACGTCGCCGCCCGCGTAGGCGGCAGCACGTGCCGCGCACGCGTAGCCGTACGTGCACAGCCGTAGAACAGCCTTTTCAACGAATGACTCATGTGGTCGCCAATACCTAGCCCAGGGCCATATATGACAGTAGGCCGGAACTGTTTGTATTAGACGAGTTGATCCGTGCACGCAAGGACAGGAGTGGCTGCTGCTTCGGGTACGTTCTAACGTTGTCGATCTGGAGAGAACGAACGTTCGACAGGTACGCTAACTAAACTGATTTCACATAAAGTAGCTTATGAGGCGTTCACACGTGGCCGATTATGGCTCCCGTTTGAGATCAGAGACGCGCTACGACACGAAAAGTGAAAAAGTCGATTACTATCCTCAATGATCTGGAATGTCCTATCATTGTCTGAACGCAGTCGAATACGTTCGTAACAGAGTCCTACGGATCGGGAATGGTCGCGAGAGGTCGGCCAAGCACTCCGACAGTTAGGTGCGTCCCGTAACATTCGGAAAACTCAGCCGATTTTGTCTAGTCGGATTACAATCGTGACTATGTCGTGACAGATTCTGCTGTATCGGATCAAAATCGTAACAATGTTCTGTGTTGTCTGGACGGTGTCTGGACGGTGTTCTGTAGATCGGGACGCTGTCGTGATGAACGGCATGATCTGGAGAAATCTATCATTGTCATCGTCTTCCGTCAGCGTCGCGTTCACTGTCGGGTCACTGTCTGATCTCGGTCGGATCGCATTCGGGGAGAATCGGGACGCTGTCGGGACAGATTTGGTCGTTTTTTACAAGCGAAAGATACAAATCGGATCAGAATCGGATTGAGAACTGAGAGATTCGGGACGAATTCGGCTGAAACGGCTGAATCGGGACGCTTCCTGAACAATATCTGATTTCTGTCGTGATTAAATAAATGTTTTTACAAATTTGTAATAAAGTTTGAATTTACAGACTTTTGACAAATTTTAATCAGGAATGGTCCTATCAAGGACGGCAGAAAAAATTCTGAATGGTGTGACTGGTGCCTTACTGGCGAACTGGTGCACGTGTGTGTGTGCGCGCGCGTGTGTGCGTGTGCGTGTTGTGTGTGTGTGTTGTGTGTGTGTGTGTGTGTGTGTGTGTGTGTGTGTGTGTGTGTGTGTGTGTGTGTTGTGTATGTGTGTGCCCGCATGTAAATGTGTGTGTGCGCGCGCGTGCGTGTGCGTGTGTGCGTGTGTACGCGTGCGTGTGTGTGTGAATTTGCGCGTGCTAACGGATGGGGAATCGATTTATAGGCGCTATTAGATAAATCCTGCAATGATCAAACTGCGTAGAGCGCTGATCGGATGTTTAGATATTTCACAACACAGATCCTGTTCGCCTGTCATTCTGCTTGAGTGAGCAAACATATAGGAAAGATCGAGCGTAGTCGAATGTATGTCAAGTTTGTTGCGGGCGGAACGCTGCATGAGTTGCTAGTGCTGGGTATGTCGGTGGAGGTACACATATAAGTACGCGCGCGCGTATATATAATATACATATATATATGTTATATATATTATGCGATTGGTATACCTATCTATCTATCTATCCATTCATCAAATGTAAACCTGTAACCCTTGACCTTGGGGGAAAAGCACTCAAAATCAATAGGGTTCCACTAAGGTCCACCTCTGGACCAAGTTTGAAGTTTCTACCTCTAACGGTTTCAAAAATATCGAGCAGCCAGACAGACACACACAGACGCACACGCACACGCACACGCACACGCACACGCACACGCACACGCACACGCACACGCACACGCACACGCACACGCACACACACACACACACAAACACAAACACACAAACGGCGCGAAAACAATACGTTCCGATACACTACGTGCGGAGGATATAAACCATTACTGCGAAGCGTTTGCCTACATTTTTCCAAGAATCATTTCAAAGTCAAACCCCGTTAGTAGAAAACTTACGGAACAAAGAAAAATAATTGTATTAAGCGCGTTTCGTATTAACCACTTTAATATATATTAGCCCCGAATTAACAAAGAAAAAATTATGGATTACAAGGTGTGTACAAGGTATTTTATATAGGTTTATATGTATAATTAAGAACTTTAGTAGCGTTAAATTGTTCACAAATAGATACAATTACTGCAAACCCTAAACTCCTCATTCAATTGCTACTATTCATTACTACAGTCGCACCCCGTTAGTACGAAACTGACGGGCCAAAGAAAAATAATCGTATTAAGCGGGTTCCGTATATTATATTAGCCTTAATTTGAAGAGAAAAACAATGGATTATCATTAGAAGGTGTGTACAAAGTGTTTTATATAGAAATAAATATACTGGGACAGAAAATTTTATGTTAGTAACAGGATCCTTGTATTATTGTCTTCGTATCAAGTCAATATTTTACCAAGAGATTGCTATGAATCGGGCCGGGATTTAGAGAAATCATCGTATAGTCTCATCAGCGTAACGAGCGAATATTTCGCGAGTAACGTTAATTCCAACTTGGTTTTGCCAAGAACAAAAGCAGCAACAACAAAATTTAGTCTTACATCATGTGGACTGTTTGTTTTATTTTTTCATTGCATTCTACGTTGGTCGCATTGCAATCATTGCCTTTGCAATCATTAGTATAGAAACATTTTCCTTAAAAAAATATTACCAATTTTTCTACATATTTTTGTCCTAGTGAATTAACATCTGAATTATTCTAGATTCATTGTTTTTTAAATCTATGAACTAATACACTTTTACAAAGATTAAATTATATAAAACCGAGCGATTACATAATTTTAATCGGTAACAATAACGGGTGAGGCTAATTAAGCATGCACGAATAAAAGACTCGTTACTATAACAGTACTAATAACTCGTTACTAATACGTTTACGTGGTGTTGCAATTTTTATGCGCGTGCTCTGCTAGCGGTTTCACGATATAACTCCCCTCTCGCTATAACACTGCTCGTATCAACGTCTTCGGACCTCAAGCATGATCCCATCTTTCGGGTACAGGAAACCTCCGAGTTTCATTTTCGTCATATCCATCGGTACCTGTAACGAGTACAGTGATTGATTAATGTATTATTGTATGTGTGAGCGTTTACACCCGGGGGGGGGGGGCACTCCCCGGATAAAAACATTCCCTAAAATATACGTCCATGATACTACCATGATTTTGATCTATACTATAACGAGTACCCCTCGTGGATTCGTTACCTGGGTCTTGTCAGAGACAATGAATGTGACGTCTTGAAGGGCGCTCACTATGGCGACCTTAGCCTCGTATTTGGCGAACCTCATAGTCTTCGCGGCGACATGGCGTGTCTATCGTTGCGGCGCGTGCGGACGTGAAACGCGTGCTCGCTTGCGGTACGTTCGATCGGTGGCTGGGTTCGTGGTTAGTTACCGCGAAGTGGAGGCGGTTCTCTTACGATTGTATTTCAGTGTGTGATTAAACGACAATGTGCTGGTGCAAGAATAAGAGATGGCGTTGTTGATGCGTTGGTGATAGATTGACGTGATGGATTGTACGTATGCATGCATGTACGAATGTATGCACGCGCGCAGTGTATACACATGCATGCTCCTAGGAGAGAATCCTATCTAGAATTACCCTATTTCAGCATAATTCAGCATTATTTCCATCCTATTTCAGCATTAATAAATATTGAATTTTTATTGCTTGCCTGCTGAATAACCGTGCTGTGTTCCTCTGTCGAGACTTCATCGTTATTCCTGTGTCACATTATTTTATTGTTGAGGCTGAACTTGGGGAAAATGACAATAAAATTGTCAGAACAGGTGCAATACTATGTGATTCACCTATCAAAGCAGGACAGTTCAACCCAACATTATTTCCCCTTTTCCATCATTGTCACGTTGAGGTCTTATTGTTGTTGCTATGATTTATTTACAATATGCTTCCCATATTATTATAGGCAATGCACGTACACGTACGTGAGAAATCTCTTCAAAGAATTGTTGATATATCATTAGAAAACATTTGTAATGTAATTAATTTATCATCAATTTCGCATCTAAATGTAAAGGGTATCGATGTTATAGTATAATTATATTAAATCGTGTTTAAATTTATGTGAATATGTGGACAATAAAAGTGTGAGGCGTAAAACTAAGTGCGTGATATTATAATTCAATTCTCCGTACAGTGAGTTATCTATATAATAATTTGAGTAGTGTCGTTCTGTTTGTTCCTGCATAACTTCTAGGCGCATGCACGAATCCGGCTGAAATTTTTCGTGCTTCATTTCTACGCATCAGATTCAATTCTAACATTTTGCTTTTTGTTATTTGTTGGGTTTAAATGTTAAAAAAAAACATATTTAGAAAATCTAATTGAAAATCATCCTGGAAAACATGCACGATTCAGTTCACTTCCGCTAGGTGCGCTGGCTGTAGACTTACAAACACGCAACCACAGGCTAAAACCACAGGCTAAAGTGATACAGTAGACTGTCACGTAACCTTGCAGTGGATTCGCCAGGGCACACGCGCTGGCTGTGGAATCAAGTCCTTCCCCCCTGCACGCTCGCACTCAGCGCATATCTATCTATCAATCGATCTATTTTTCTATCTATCTTTCTATCTATCTATCTATCTATCTATCTATCTATCTATCTATCTATCTATCTATCTATCTATCTATCTATCTATCTATCTATCTATCCATTCATCAAATGTAAACCTGTGACCCTTGACCNAAAATAACTGTTTACAAGGACGAACTAACAGCCACTGTAAAGATATTTTTACAGCCAAGATATTTTTTTATATCATATATTGTAGTCACATATACGATAAGGTCGTCACGATTCATTTGCTTCGTACCATAGATACCTACATAAACATGTCTATCTAGATGTTCATGATGTCTCTATGCGCAGTATGTAGTCTTTACGCGTCTGTTGCATAGAATATATGTGGTTCGTACGGTTGATGTGGCACACTCACCCCGCCTATCACGTCATCCACTTCCTGCTGCAGTTTCGTCTGCCACTCTGGGTTGGTAGCGAGGCAGTAGGACCACATTGACAGCAGCGTTGCCGTCGTCTCGTAACCGGCCAGGAAGAAGATCAGGGATTGTGCGAGGATCTGCTTGTCCGTCAAACCTGGATTGATGGTTAGTTAGATGACGGTATCATGCAGTCAGTTGCCGTTTTAAAACGTGAAACTTCATTTGCGAACCGCGTTAATATAGCAGCGAATGGAACGGGGGATCTGGGAACGGGTAAATACTCCAGGGTATCCCATATTGGCGCGTAGGTGCATGTGTATGCGTGCGTGTATGTATGTGTGTGTGTGGAGGGGTCTATTCACATGAGTTTACCAGGTAAAAATATGCCATTTCCCATTTCCCGGTTAATTAAAACCCAATTTCGGCTTTCCCATGTCCGGTTGACTTCTATTCCAGAATAAAACGAAATATTTATCTCGTATATCTCGGGTCTAATCCCACATCCCGAAAATACACGCCTCCGTCCTCATAAAAGTATAAGCCCGTTGCCGCGTTACACCGTAATTCACGGATACTTTTAGTGTTGTCAACCTTTTTCTATTTTTTTCCCTTTTGATAAAGTAATATTATATAGGCTGAGTTGCAATTATATTGTAATGATGACACATGCGGGCCGCTTTTCAATGGTCTACACGTCACGGTATATTTATAACCACCAACCTTTGTGAACTTCGCCAGATTTGTCATGCATTTCCTTGTGAGCGTCCATCATCAACTGGAGAAAGTCTGGTCGTACCTAGAAATGTATACGTCATATGTAAAGCGTGCACACACGCGCGCACAGAAAGCATACACACACACGCACGCACGCACGCACGCACGCACGCACGCACGCACGCACATGAACACACGCACACACATCTCAACTATACATCAAAATATCCTAATCTGCTCCTATTGGTCATCCATCGGTCGCTTAAGAAAAATTCCCCGGTCGTGAAGCGTTGTTGAAATGCAGCTTTTTGGCCACTTGCTTCAAGCACGCTGACAAGAGATTATATAGTATTGTAGAATGGGAGCCGCTGCTGCAGAACACCCGAATCGCACAACGGTTGGCGTACCTCTTTAGAATTTCGTCTAAGCGCCAGAGTCTTCGTAGTGAGGTTGACAAAGAAGTCTTGATCTTCTTTTTTAAGGAATTGTATTTTTAACAGCTT